AACCTAATTTACAACACCCCAGCCTCTGAAATTCGACGGTGGTATGCCGGCTTTACCGACTTGGACTTCAGCACAGCCAGTGCGATTTGTCCTTCCACTAGATCAACTGACTGAGTCTTTGAAGTGCTCTGATGAGAGCAAGGTCGTGCTTAGTAAGCCGTAACTACAAGTAAGCCAACACAAACCGACACAGTTTGCTATATACGATTTCTTCCAGACAGAGACCCAATGTGATTCATTTTTACCCTGTAAGGGCACCGCTGGAAATTTTGGACAGTAAAATTTCTTATTAGGAGGTATGTGGCAGATTTGAATAATTCAGTTGATACAACTGTTAAAAATTCTTGGCCTCGATGGGATTCGAACCCACACCAACAGAGGGGAGGCTTTAATACAGCCAACGCTCTACAAATTGAGCTACAAAGGCATGCCGAGAGCCGTCCGTAATTTGTAAGAATCGCCATAGATTCGTGGATCATAGGTTCTTACAGAAATGACTATGAGAACTAGGCGAATAGCCTAGTAAGGATGGTTTCTAGGTACTACCTATGATTTCTGCTTTACGGGACCGTTGGTGAAAAGGAAAGCTGTTCCTTTCATTTGCAAAGATAGCATATCCATTGAATCACATATTTGAACAGAAACCAGGCGTTAGAACGAATAAAAAGAAACTTTATACTATACAGGGTGTCCCAGAAAAATGTATGCATATTTAAATAATTGTAAACTTGGTGTTTATTATAATTTTTATTATGTCGAAAATGCAAAAATACTTATAGTTACCATTTTATTGTGTTTTTCACTGCCTCGCATTATGCAACGTTGTCATTGGAAATGTTGTATCTGAAGATTAGTACATGTTCCTAATGCCGACGATCTAGACCAAAGAGTACAGTAGAGCGACTGTTGTTTAGAAAAATATCCAGAACATGCAGAAATAGACGTCAGTTTGAGAATATGCAGTGAAAAGACAATAGAAGGATGCCTGTAAATATTTTTACATCTTTGAAATAGTAAAATTATGGTAAACACCAAGTTTACGATTGCTTAAAATGTGTATAGATTTTTCTGGGACGCCCTGTATATACTTTTTGTATTTAAGTGTATATGCATTTTGCGTCCATCCCACTCAGGCGATCGATCAGCTAGGCGTTGGCTTGATGCGTGTGGTGAAAAGAGATCGAAGTCATTCCTCAGCACATTTCTTTCATCACTACAAGCAATTTAACGCGCTTGAAGTGATCACGGGGCACTAAAAACTGCGGCTTGGAGGG